TGATTACTTGACCCCTGTGTTATAACTTCTGTTTTATACCCTTTTGCTTTCCACAATCTAGTGTTTTAGGAACTAAACACATGCCAACATTTCTCCAGGGTGATATGCAGTTTCCTGAGAAGAGAGTAACTTCTAAGAGTTTCCTGAAAGCTCTCAAAGAATGCTGTTTAATCTTTTTTTTTTACCTACCATCACCACAGAACATATGGGTCATTAGAAAATAAACATTAATTGCTCTAAATCCTCTAGCTATTTTAAAAAATATAATGCTCTCTAGTAAAGTACCTTGGGTTAATAATTCCTCTGGCTTAAGTTAATGAAAGTTGTGCCACTGACTTTAGTGGGTTCAGAGTTTAGCCTTTTGTTCACAGGTGGAAAAACATACTGCTCTCACGTCTTCACTACAGAATTAACTTAAGTCTAGATAAATTCTCCAGAGTAAGCCTCCCTCAAATGAGATTAACCATAGTGAAATAACACACAAGCTATTCGTAGTGATTATATTGGGGAGAAAAACATGATTTTATGATAATAGTAGGCAATTTATTTGTTCAAATTGCAACCTGTAGGACCTTCAGGCAGGCTACCCAACCCAAATTAAGTTTACTTAGGGTAAAAGCACTTATGTGTCTATGGGACTTGCATTAGGGGCAACACTTGAATTACACCTTAAGTTAATTCTACGTGAATGCTTAGATGTTTTTCAGAACATTACTAAATTTCAAATGAAGTAATATAAAAGCATTGGGAGACTGATGTATTTTACTTATTTGAGTGTTCAGTATCATTATTGATAATCTTTTTTCAATGCTTAAGGTGGGAAAGACAATTAAAATGTGAAAAATCAGTTGTTCCCTTTGCTCATATGATACTGTTAGTCTCTCTCATGTATATTCTCAATGAAAATGATAACTGTTTGTCACCATTTATTTCTTCTTAGTTTCCCAATTTGGAAAAGAAATATAGTCCTTAGTGGTATATATTGCACAAGGGAAATGATGAAGTCACTTAGAAGTGGAGTGTGACAAGTATCTTACCATAAACAATAGCAGGAATACAGTAATACACAGTATGTTTATAACATGTTTTAGAAGCTAATTTCCAAAGCTATATCTATTTTTTTTTTCTACATTTGATTTGATACATTGTTAATATCTAAAAAGAGATTTTCAAATATATCTGTTGCCAACATATTAGCATCATTTTCAAAAGTATATCCTGTTCCCATAAGTGGTAATTGTGTGTGTGTGTGTGTGTGTGTGTTTGTTTGTTTGTTTGTTTGTTTTCATGCTGCTAGTTTAAATGATGCTGTGGCGGTAGTGTTGGTTGGATGACCGTAATGTTGATATCTGTTAAATTATTTTAAATGGACTCTAAAGAGAATAATATACAGAACTGGAATAATCCCTCCCCTCCTCCAAGAAACAATAAAACACTCTAAACCTTGAGAACAATAGGTAGCCTATTATGGCCTCTTTGAAAGATGTAAACGTGCAGGTTGCATAGCAGCCATGCCGTGGTCCACTGTGATCATCTATTTCCAACAGTATTTTGTTGGACTTGGTCAGAAATGACATGTGTGAAGTTTTCCAGCCATATTCTTAAGATATACATGTCTTTCCCTGTAAACGGTTTCTAGTTCTCCACCCAACAATAAATTGTACTGGAGCACTGACCGAATGGTTCTGGCACTCAAGTGGGATTTGTAAGATATGCAGTAGCTGAACTCTTGTGTTGAACTACATCTCCCATAATACCTGCACTTAGACTTCCAGGATATACTGTGCCGCTGAACTGAGGGGAGACAAACGCTTATCATGGAAGACAGTTTATTAAAGGAGCCAGAACCATACAGGAGAATGGTGACATGAAGCATCCAAACTACAACTCTCATGGGCTTTTCCTTACTCAATCATAAATAGAAAAAAAAAAGAGTATGGATGGCAGAAATAAATGAAGATATAGACCAGTGATGCTGAACTATTTTCCTGGATGGGCTGGATGGACAGTGCCCAGGCTGTCCGTGAACTGGTCTGACTGGTGCCTTGGATCTGGTGCCTGATCCTGCCATGCAGAAGGGAAACAAGGGGGCAGTCCAGCCCCAACCTGGCCCCACCAGAAAAGGGACAATGGCCTGGCTCCAACCAGCTGCATGGGGCTTGAGATTTGGTGGTGGGGAAAGGTGCTGGGGAGGAGGGTGGCCATATTCTTTGCCATTGCTCCCCTGCTGCCAAATTTTCCATCCCGTAGGGAGCCTTGTGGGTCAAATGCAGCGGCTTCATGGGCTGCGTTTGGCCTGTGTGCCGGAGGTTGAGCACCCCTGATATAGACTATACCAGCTTCCATTTCGGCATGTTAGACCATGGCTCAACACAATAGATGAAGAAAAGAATTAATTTTCAAACTTTGATGTCCTATGCTGCCACATTGGAGCACCAGGCAAAATACGATGACATGCTTTGCAATCTACGAATGTACTTCCTGTCTGTAAATTCCCATGAACAATATAATATATTCACATGTAAAATAACTTATGTGTTTGTAGCAGATATTGCTGGTGATGTCAGTGATTGATTTCTGCTGCTGATTCTTAAATTGAAAAACTGACCAGAGCTGTTCTGATGTTATGCCTTCCTTTCAATACGCTGCAGGCACAGAACAGCTTCCTATTGGCACCATCATCCTGCCACAATATATTTCACAGATCTGTGTCTCTGTGGTTTGTTTTTCAAGGATGTGTAAACAAACTGTAAAGTTAAATGATCTGTGAAAGACTGATGGGGGAGCATGTGAGGTTTTTATAGCCTGTTGGAATATAGCATGTTAACAGGGACCCAAGAATTCTGCTGCTTTTAGCACTGAGATGCTAAAATTGAACCTTTCTAGGGTTCTTAAAATTCTATAGTGCCAGCTTGACTAGTTCTTGTAGAATGAGGCTTCAGGGGATAAGTGCTTTATCTTTGTGCATGCAGCTTTAGGCATATATCTTTAGTTCCAATTCATATCAGAGATTTCTCTGTTTATTTGTAATAAGTATCAGATTACAGAATTGGAAGGGATGCCAAGAGTATCAAAGAACTGAATGGCATTTTAGCATTTTTACCTTTGTTGTTTACCAAATCCCTTTTCTTATGTGTTTTACAAACTAGAGTTTTAATTAAAGATTAAATTATGAAATTCTTACAGGGGTAGCAATATGTTTTTCTAAGCATTCTAAAATATATTTTTAAACTTAGTAGTACACACAATATAAATATATGGAATGATATTAAAAGGAAATTATCAGGCAAAATTGCACATTAAAAAAATCATTTTGTTTATTTTGCAAGTAACAGCACAGGTTATTTAAGAAAGAGATTTATTATGCTGCTTGTTTCATTTTTACATGTCAGCTTGGCAGAAGGTAGGGCAGGATTGCACCTTAGAAACTAGAGAGGGATACATTTTCAAACAGGCTACTTCATCAGATGCTTGAATGTGGTGTCTTCAAAAGCTTACGTCACTTTGCACAATTTGGTCGTCACGGTGCCATCCTGCTATGCCATCAGATCTTTAGTCTGACTTTAGACTAACACAGCAAACCATGTCTCTCTCTTTCTTTCACTATAATATCTTTGAGATTACTTGGTTTTACTTTCTGCACTGGCTATTGCTGTAAATTTCACTTAGGTTTTTTTCCTGTACTAGCAGAGGAAGCAACACTTGCACTACGAATGTTTTGTGGCATTGTTCTCTATATGCTGTTACTTTATGGCTGGTTGGTTGGGTGGCTGGGTGGGATTTTTAGGAATTCCAAAAAAGGAAGATGGAGCCCAAGAAGTGAAACCCACCAATGCAAGATTCGTTGTTTCAGAAAATAGCTAGATTCTCCTGCCATTCATTACTGGCCTTAAGGAAAAGAAAAAAAGACAAATAGAACCAATTTAAAATGGACCCTTCCTGTTGTAAATAGGCAATGAAAAATGAATCCAAACTCTCAGCTTCATGTCACTAATACCTTGCAGTGATGAAACTGGTGTATTCTTAAGCATAGATTCCTACCACTGAGCAGTAGTGACAGAAGAGGTAAATTTCTTCCAAGTCTCCCTCAGTCTTGCAGCATATTTGGTGCTCTGAAGCTCCCAGGTCAATGTGTGAATGCATAGTAGAGCTATGTAGATCACTGAAAGATTAATCCATATGGGTAGGTTCAGATTTGATAACAATGTAAAATGTATTTGGGAGGAGTTACTCTACTTGGAAAGCTCTTTAGGACAAGGATCTTCATTGTCTGTATCTGTTTGGACAATGCCTGCCAATTGAAACCTACTCCTGATGGAAGCTTCCAGGTGCTATGAAAATATAAGTTTAAAATATGAATGGTTACTTTATTATTTATTTCTTGCACACTTTTGGAACAATGCTTAGCTTATTAAACTAATCAAAACATCAAAAAAGGCAGAGCAAATAGAGGAGTTGGACAGAGGCATAGCAGGACAGATTTCTGCTCTGGTTGTGTTGATTGTGGGGTTTCTGGCCCAGGTGCCCCCTTCCTCCCCTCAACCCTCAGTTGTACTACTGGGTTTGGGAATCCTTTCAGGTAGACAATGAGAACAAAGAAACTGCAAAGCCTGAAATTAGAAGTGGAATTCTATGGCAGAAGGTAAAATATGCTGGGTGCTACTGAAGTGCAGTTGACTACATGCTTTGCGTGTAATAGAACTAAATAAAGGACACCAATAAGGTATTGCAGCAGTTCAGGAACTTGTTTTTATTTACTGGTAAGCATTAACTAGCAGCGTAATATTTCATTCTTCATAGACTGGGCACTAAACCTTGACTCAGTAGCCCCTTTCTGTTTGCCATATTACAATACAAAATAAATATTTATTTTCAAGGAATGTAAAATATCATTGCTGCTGCATAGGATGTGGTAATGTATTACATGAAATCCCTTTTAACAATTCCAAGAGCTGTGGTTGTCATTATATTTCATAGTGTAACTTCCCTATTTGCTGCAGAGAAACTTCAGTAATATTTCTAAGGACCAGCAACAGTTAACCGAACTGTTAAAAGATGAAATTAACCAGAAGGAACAATTAAAGAGGACAAAGAATGAAATGGAAAATGAACGATGGCAGCTAGACAAGACCATTGAGAAGTTACACAAGGAGGTATGGATGGACTGAAAAGAGGCTGCAGGAGATTAAATTTCCAACAGGGAAAAAAGCAAATAAGCTGCCAAATTACAGAGAAGTTTTTTTTTGTTTGGTTGGTTTTAGTGTGTACATGAAACTGTAATGTGAACTTTTCTGTTAATGTCTGTGACCTAGTGACTATCAATACAAGCTTTCAGGACAGGAGCAATAGTTGGAACAGTGCTATCCCAAAATGCTACTGTAAAACAGTCCTGTTTTGTTAAAACAAGATGTCATATTTGAATTCTGTTCCATTATGTACAAAAAATAACCTCAGTCTTTGATAAAAATAACCATCAGCTGGACTGCAATAATTTACAGTTCATTTTTCCAGCTGCTGCTGCTTTGTTGCATTACTTTTGTCATCTATGTATTAACATATGTCTTTAGTTCTGGTATGATAAAGCATGGCTCATACAGGCTAAAATGCTGATCAACAGTAAGTGCTGCTGACACACACAGTATGCTCTGGGGACTCTCTTGCCACACGTTTTGGAGACACCATTTTAAAGCTGCATCTTTTTTCTTATTAATTTCTTCACATACAACATGGATAATATTCTCTAAATGATTAATTAATGATCTTGATGTAACATAAGAGAGAGTGGATAAGTACAAAAACATTCTACTGCAGTAGAAGTCAGCACAAACCCTTTGTCGCTTTGCTTTACTTTGGGAAATGTTATATACTATGTTCCTTTTTTGCCAGATGGCTGAAATTGTAGAGGCTTCTCAGACATCCACTCTTGAGTTTCAGAATCAACTTGATGACTATAAGGAGAAAAATTGCAGAGAACTTACAGAAATGCAGAGACAATTAAAAGAGAAAAAACTTGAGGTAGAAAAATCACGCCTGACAACCATGACAATGCAGGATGAGGTAATGGCTCATAAATCCAATGACATGTTTAACCTCTGACCTAGAATTCTGTTCAGACAATTTTCAGAACAATGAATCTTTGATATCATTTTTCTTGTGCACTTCATCAGGAGGGAGTGATCTCAGTCGAGATGCTTTTGTGTTCGAATTCTTCAAGTGTGTTACTTCCGCAAGGGAAATAGGGTTTTCTAGATACAATAGATAAATGTAGAGTATGTTTGACATATGGATGTATCAAAATTATATGATATTGTTTCTACTGAAGTTCTGTTGCTCTTTTAATGTTCATTGCAAAGAAAAATTGAGAATAGTGAAATGGCTTTTAGTCATTTAAAAGGCCAACAGCAATCTAAAAAGAAAAAGGAAGAAGACAAAAAAGGCTGCCCTGAGCTTTTAAAAGAAATTGACACTCATTATCTTTTCATTTTCTATGAGCTAAGGTAGAGATTTAAATGACAAAGCTGTGTGTGCAGGCAAGAATTGGACACAGCCTGGCAATGTCTGCCCTTTAGCATGCAAGTTCTATCGTAAAATCAGTCCAGCCTCTTTATGTATCTGCATGCACTGGTTTGGGATTTGGAAAAGCCGTAAGAAAGGACAGGCCATGGATGTCTTCTATATGCAGTATATTTTAGTAGTTTGAATTTCCTGGACAGAACTTACGATTTTTTTTTCTTTCCATTTGAGAAACTAGGTTTTAAATTGTTAATAAAAATGCATAGACATGTTAGTATGAAGAATCACCACTGTTCTTCTCTCTTCCTTCCCTCTGTGTTTCCTGCACTTACAAAGGTGGAGTTTATTAAAACAAAAAAGTGAAAAGGGAGTGATTGGAAAGATTTACCAAAGACATAAAGTTCCACAAAGCTTTATTGTCTTCTTGTTAGTTGTACAGAGTTGACTAATTGCCTTGAAGTTAATATTCAAATGTATATATTTATTGCTGTGAAACCTGTTGTTTGAAGTATCATAACAGCTGAGAATTCCTGTCCAAGTTCATTTACTCAGTGCCACCTTGTGGAAAAAGTAAAAATGACTTCAGTAAGCTCATAGTACTGTATAATTCCTATCCCACTGTGTAAGTATTTTAATACCTCAGGATCTGTATAGCACATTTATTACCAAAGAGAACTGTGTTGTGAATCGCATAATTTGCGTTCTTTTTTTCAGATGCGTCTTATGGAAGAGGATTTACGGGATCACCAGAGAGCCCAGGATGAGGCAATTACAAAAATCCAGTTATTGGAACAGACTGTGAAAGGCCTAGAATATGAACTGGAAGCTAGAAACCATTTGAAAGATGATCGGGCAAGACAGATGAAACTAATGGAGGTAAAAGGCACTTTTTGACCAAGGATCCTTCAGATGCATAATCCTGATGGATATTTTGCTAAAGCTGACTGGAATTGCTTTTTTATTATTTTTTACTTGGGTTGGGGCTTGGAAGGAAGAAAATAATTTGACCTTGCCTGACAGAAAAATTGTGTACTGGTAATGCAAGAGCATTGAGGTTTGGCACGTCCCAAGGGTGAGCATTCAGCAAATCAGATATTGCATATTATATTCTGAATGGCAGCTCTTCTGTGAATTCTTTCAATGCTTTCTTTTACTGACATGAAAAATGTTTTTCAGTTACCTTTGTAGTTCTCCTGGAGTTTACCTGGCACCAAAACTGGAAGGTTTTAATTCAGTTCCCCAAAGTATTCCTCAGTTCTTCAACTAATTTCTCCTTTGGTGTCTAATTCTTCCTGATTTCAAGTAGCTTTGGTAGCTTTTAGGATCTTGGCCCTAGGCTTGGAATCTGTCCCAGGCCACGAACAGGCACCACTACATTTGTAGTGATAAAAAAAAAAAATGGTGGAAGCACTACAGAAATACTTCTGGATGAAATAGGAACTTTTGTAGCATTCCTTTTTGTAGCGCTACATGTAATGTCTGTCCAGTGCAGTGTGTGATGGGACAGGGGCTGTCTTAGTTTAGCAACCCACAGTAGTCTATGAGCCCTTATCCCCGACCAAGAAGGGGTGGACAAGAGAGCAGTTTGGACAGTTAATGAACGCTTATGCTCAGCTGTCATCAGGACTGGGGAGCAGAGCTGCAGTTCCCACTCCCTGAGATCAGGTGCAGCAGTACCTCCAGCACTTCTGGAGCCTGCCACTCTCCCAGTCTCCAGGGATCTGCAGCATTGCTCCCTGCCGTCCAGTGGGAGGTGATGGGCTGTCAGTGATAGGCTCCCCTCCCCAGCTGGGGAGACAGGACTTGCAGTAGTACAACCTTTTGTTATCGCACAGCTTATATTGGCTTTAAAAGAACTTTTTTAAGGGCTTTCCTCAAAGCTTCTTTTTACTGCAAATTGTATGTTGCTGTAGTGAAAAGAGAAATCCAAATTCACATTGGAAGCTAGCTGTAGAATTGTGCAGATGGAAGACAGAAGTCCTGAGAGGACACCTGTTACACTGAAGTTCCTGTTTTTAAAAAAGGAATACCCCATCTCTCTATGCTGGTTCCCATGCTTCCCTGTGCCTCTGTACCAGGTCCTGCACTACTCTGTACCTCCGCACTGAGGTCCCTCACTACTCTGTTCCTCACCAAGTAGATTTCTGCCATCTCTTCTGACTGCATTTTCACTTGATACTCAGTTCTAAGATGAGACTTTGTTTTCCCTGTTTTGAATGGGGGGGAAAAAAACTTGGTTTTGCAATTGAGTAATATGGTAAATATTTTATACTAATTAATATTTTGCTTGACAGTAAACTCTTGGAGGCTATCCTAGTATGACGCAGATAAGTGTTTTGGTAATTTTTTGCATTCTCTATAAATGTTCAGACACTGCCCTATTTAAAAATATTTTCAGGCAACTGAAGCTTTGCAGTCTTAAGTGTGGCTTGTTAGCTCTTTAAACAGAAGCACTAACATGTTGAACTACCTTTGCTCTTTTTAGGAGAAGATGTCTCAGTTAGAACTTGAACTTGATGAAGAAAGAAACAACTCTGATTTGTTGTCTGAGAGGATCGGTAGAAGCAGAGAACAGGTACTTGACAAGTGGGCAAAATGTATGCAGCTGAGCTATGGTGTACCAATGAAGAAAAACAGTACATAATAATCACAAAGAACTTTAATACATTCAATACAAAACTTTTAAGTTAGATACTCTTTTATTTTGTGCAAGTTAAATAGAGATTATCTTAAAAAACAGCAGGTCTTCTGACTCATATTCTTGTCTTTTAACCACACAGTTATTTTTCTTGTCCTCCTAGAGTCTTTAAATAGTACATACCTTTTTACACACCTCTCCTTTGGAACTGGTGAGAGATTGTTTTAGAGTATCGTAAGATGCAAGCAGAAAATAGTTTGTGGTGCAGAAATGGTATGTAGATTCCAAACTTCAGGAATTTCCAAACTTCAGGTTCCTTTTGGATTTGGATTTTAATTCAGTCCTTTATAAAGTATGGGTTATATGTGAAATTCTGATATGTAATTTAGCCAAAATGCAATTCATGGGCATTTGAATGTGAAGTTTTGCGCCTGCCACTTTTATCTGTTAGTCACAAAATAATAACTACAGTGTAATATTGCATTTAGTTCATAGTCAGCACATGTGACTTGTCAATGCTTAGGTTAGGTTTCTTGGAATGAATATAGTGAATGAAATATTCCTGGCAACATAACCTTTTCACACATATATTTTCAAAGAAAGCCTCTAATGTTCTAGTTGTTGTTTGTTTCAGTGTTCTTCATATTACATATGTAAAATGTAACCTGGCCCCAAGTTTTTGTTAATGTTAAAATTTACATGTGTGCACAGACTTAATTTAGGCACACAGACTGCATTATCTATTGATGCAAAAATGTGGCTGTAAAAATGAAATGGATGACTTAAGGATTGGTGTTGTGAGGAATGTTTTGGGATGTTCAGCCACTGGAAACATTTACAGAAATGGGACTTTCCTTGATCAATGGACTCTATGTGAGTAATGGTATACTGGCCTTCTGGGATCAAGGCTGAAATGACTGATAAAAACAGCTTTAAACTAAACAGTAAGGGGAGAGATGTATGTAACTTCCTGACTACACAAACAGAGGAAATAAGGAGAATAAGGATATGACAACGCAGAAAAGATTAAAAGGATAGACAGCAAGGAGAAGATACTAATATTGATGAGAGTAGGAGTCAAGTAGACAAGCAGTTAGTGAAAGACTACCTAATCTAGCTAAAAAATCATCATAAGAAACATCTGAAATACTTGTATGTTAATGCAGGGAACCTGGAGAATAAAACGGAGAAAGATGAATTGCTGCTGCAGGACAGGAAACTGTATATTACAAGGATAACAGAAACATGGTAGAAATCAGCCCTGACTAATATATGGGTGTTAAAGTGTATCCGCCACTCGGGAAGAAAACGCTGCCTTTTTCGATATTCTTATTGAAAACATAAAGCAAAGTATGTATTTAGTTTTTGGGTCATGCCTAGATTATTTTTGGTTGTGACTCCACCCTCGCTGCACAGTGGTCACCCTTCTTCCCTCCTTCTCTTGTATTTATATGTCTGAAAAATCTTTTGGTGTTTGTTTTAATTTGCTTGACTTTTGGCAAGTGTCAGTTTATCCCTCTGCTTCCTGGCTTATAAGCAGGGATCCTGGGTTTCCCTGACAAAAAATTGCTGTGGAAAGGCAGTGCAGGATGTGGCAGTGAGGGGGCAGTGGCTTTGCAGACAAATGGCACAGGGCAGCGGTGCCTGTCTGCAGGTTGCACTCAAGCCAGCCAGCCAGGGGGGCTCGCATGTGGTGGCCACCACACTGCTTCTGCCCCACCCTGCATTGCCTTCCCAGGGCTGGCCACACGGCTCTGCAGGCAAGCAGTAAGGGGTGCAACAGTGGTGGCAGTAGTGTGGTGGTGGTGGTGGCTGCTGTGTGAGAGCCACCCACCCTGGCCAGCTGGGAGGCTTGTGTGTGGCCTACAGAGGGGCACTGCTGCCCTGAGCAGTTTGCTTGTGGAGCCGTGTGGCCCCGGAACTGTGCCTGCAGAGCTGTGCTCGTGGAGCTTTGCGGCAGCTGCAGGAAGGCAGTGTGGGGTGCAGCAGCGGCAGTGGTGGTGCAGCAGTGGCTCCCGCATGCAAGGTCCCCACCCCGGCATGGCCTTCCTTGCTGCTGCTGTGCCCCGCACTACCTTCCCATGGCCAGCTGCATGGCTCTGCGGGCAAGCTCCATGGGCACAGCTCCATGGCTGCAGGCAAGTAGCGTGGGGCATGGCAGTGGTGGGTGGGGCAGTGGTGGTGGCAGCCACTCCAGGGCCACTCTGGTTCCATGCAACACTGGCTGGGAGGCCACTCTAGGGCTTCCCCCAACACCTCCCCACTCCCTGCCAGAGTGCCCAGGTGGCTGCATGTGGACTGTGAGCAACGCTATTGGTCCTTAAGAGAAGCCACACATGGAGGTGCTGAGCACAGTTGCGCTCATAGTGCCACTGGCCATCTACGTGTAGTCACCCAGGCACTCCAGGGCTTCCCCCAACACCTCCCCACTCCCTCAGCCCGCAGCCAGCTCCCCACAACTAGCTTCCCTCCCAGTCCTCTGCAAACTCCATTTACCTAACCTTGCAGGCTCAAGAAGCAAAGTGAGTCTGAGCTGAGGCCCTGGGACTAAAAGCCTTAGGCCCTGCCCTTCCCTCTCCCTCCTGCTTCCACTCCGGACAGGATTGGAGGTTCCCTGCCCTTTTTCTAGGCAGCTCTTGCAGACTGGAGCTCTGCCAGCCTGCAGAGCTCTTTGCAAAAGGGGGAATCCGTGGCTTTTTCTGCTAAAAGGTAAAATCTGCGTTTTCTCTGCTAAAAATGGGAAATCCGTGGTTTTCTCTGTTTTTCCATTGGAAACAGAAAACCCAGATCCCTGCTTATAAGACAACTTTTATGGAGGAAGCATGCATTCCATTTTGTTTATAATAGCTGCCAGATCTTTCACATAACCATCTAGTCGATCAAAATTTGCTACACTGAGATCATAAATACAATTGATACCATTGCACAAATGTAGCATAGTTTTGATTATATTCTAAATCCTTTATGGCAGGGGTGGGCGAAATAGGGCCTGTGGGCCAGATGTGGCCCACCAGGCCATTCTATCTGGCCTGCGGGGACCCTAAAAAATTTAGAAAATTAGTATTTATCTGTCTTTGATTCCTATCAAAAATGACAGGAACCAGGGGCAGTAGGGCCCAGGGGAAGCCCGGGTGGGCTGCAAGAGGCTGCAGCGTGGGGTGCCGGCCATGGGGTAAGGCCGCTTTTCCTGCACTCAGCACCAGCTTGTAACATGCCCCCGCTGCCAATCTGGGCCCTACGCCAGCTCCGGGCTCGCTCGTCAGGGCTGTGCCCATCGGCAGCAGCTGCGGTCCCTGCCGGGCAGCTGCTGCCACTGTGTCCAGCCCCGATGGAGAGCCTGGAGCCAGCGCAGGCCCAGGCTGGCAGTGGGGCCGAATTACAAGTTGGTGCTGCCCAGTGCTGCAGCTGCTTGCAGCCTGCATGGGGCTGCCTGTGCCTGCTGAGGACAGCCCCATGCGAGCTGTGAGTGGCTGCACCAGGGAGTGCCAGCCATGGGGTGGGTGAGGGCCCACTTTTTTCCCCATGCTCAGCACCAGCTCCTTCCCTGCCGGGGAGCAGGGGATCAGGGCTGCATGCTGCCCTGTGCCTGTACCACGGGACTGGGATCACTGGGAGTGAGTGGGTGCATGGGGCCCACACTGGTGTCCCGGAGCCAGCACCAGCAGAGCCCAGAGCAGGGCAGCAGGAATACAGGGTACTGGCTGGTAGGGGTTCTGTTGAGCCAGGCCAGGTACCCCCTCTCCCTGCTGGTGCAGCCCAGCCCAGCTCCATGGACCCCTGCCAGCCTGCACCTCGTTCTGGGCCCCACTGGTGCTGGCCCTGAGACCTTGGTCCCAAGATGGTGACCAGGGGGCGGGGCATCTGTCAAGGGGCAGGGCTACCCATGCAGCCTTCGACAGCTTGCCAAAACTGGCCCTCCACCCAAAATAAGTGGCCCTCCACCCAAAATAAATGCCCACCCCTGCTTTATGGTATTTGAAGCATTGTTGAGGGTATGTGCTATAAGGCTGGGGTCCTCTCTGGCCTGATGTTTTCCTAATAAGTGACAATGGGGTGTGAGGAGCCAGATGCTGTTATCATGCTATCAGATGTTACTCTCTCTCCTGCTATGTCTTTGATCTTACATCTATTGAGGAGTTGGTTCTGCTGGGCCTGGTGAAGGAGTCGGATGATCTCCACCCTAGAGTTCTAAAGGAACTGGCTGAGGTCATTGCAAGTCCCCTGGCAAGGCTTTACGAGCACTCGTGGTGCTCTGGAGAGGTACTGGAGGACTCGAAGAGGACCAATGTGGTTCCCATCTTCAAAAAAGGGAGGAAGGAGGACCCGGGAAACTATAGGCCAGTTAGTCTTACCTCGATCCTAGGCAAGCTGTTTGAGAAAATTATTCTGGCACACATCCAGGAGGGGCCAGCAGGGGACTGCATGCTTAGGGGCAACCAACACAGGTTCATCAGTG